ATAAGCACCGCTGTGGGAGAACAAAAAGCCACTTGATTCTGGGGGAGGAAAAGAGAGCAGAATGGATAAGAGTCCATGCTGTGAGGATGACAAGCCTGCCTCTGCTGCTCTGCAGACAGGTCTGCTTCGTGCAGACACGGGCTGTAAATCCCTTCTCCTTAAACAGTGGGTCTTCTGGTTCATGACGCGCCTCCAGTTTGCAGGAGAAGCAGGACTTCGCTGCTGAACGGCTCCAGTTGCCATAGCAAAACTGGCCCTTCACAGTAGCGGTTATTCATCTTCGGGAATAACAGCTCCTTTATGCTCGCTTATCACACTCGAGGCAACAGCAGGTTGGGGAAACAACCGGAAAACAAAAACAACTCTCGTTCTGGCGGATGGTTCAGATTGAAGAGGAGGGGCAGCAGCAGTCACAAGCATTCCTTGTAGAAAAGGATGGAAGTGAAAGCACAGTAATTATGTCACATAAACCCAGGCCGCGGACCTCAACCTTGCACATTTTTTCACAGTCCACTTTTTGATTACATTATGAGCTGCACTTCGTTGATTAACATTGTGTAACCCTGTCGTCCAGGCTTTGTCCTACTTCAATAGGAACATGAGTCATTCAGTGGGACCATGGGCATCACAGTGAGTCTCATTGTCCTCCTCGCAAAGTAGGCTTGCTACATGGATGAAAAAGAAAACCCCTCTCACTCCACATGCACACCATAAGACAAGCAAGTGACTGGTCGGAGTCAAAGGAGACTAGTAAAAAGAAAGACAGGAAGCGCTACATCCACAGAAATCTCTGCCTGAACAGTCAGGGGAAGATCTTTGCTTTGCTGAAATCAAAGACCTAGAGAGGGAGAGGAAGTTGTGTCAAAACCTACGAGGACAGAAAGGCAGAGAAGACCTAAAATTGAAATATATCTGAACATTTTTTCTTGATAAAATATCAGGAAAAATGTGTTTTAATACATACCCTTAAAAATAAAAATCCAACGCTGGGACCAAAACTATGTTTTAAGAAAACCAAAGTTGCCACTGAGTATTAGACCTAAATAAGGCAGCACACAAACCTCAGTCACACATAGATCAGTGTTTAGTCTGTATTTAACACCAGGGCCAGCCAGTAGCTTAGCCAGTACAGGCAAATGCTAAAGGTGCCAAGAGTCTAGTGTGTGGCATAAAAAGGGGCAAGAAAAAAAATTACAATTGTGTTTTTAATCTATTAGGTTATGTAATTTCCTAAATAAAGAAAAACTATGCTAATTTAGCTTGCAAAAAATATTAGATAAAATATCTAAAAATAATGCTTCCCCGCCTCCTGCTCTAGTAGCTGGTTTGTTCCTGCAGCCTGCGCGCCCTCCTCTCACTGCTCTGTTGCTGCTCACTGACAATTGATAATTTGAATAATTGCACAACATTTTTAAAGCGTTCCATTTTTTAACACATAATTCTGGTTGTCATCAGCATAGAATGAAAATGGAAGCAATGTTTTCTGAAAATATGACCCAGAGGTAGACAGGAAAAAAGAAGGGGGCCTAAAACAAAGGCCTGAGGAACACCACAGGCAAAACATTTGTGCAGCAGCAATATTTTCTTAACATTTATTAGAGCTTAGTAATTTTTTTTTCTTATTTTTACAATTATTATTCTTATTTTGACAATTATCATTAGGAAATATGTATATAAATGAAGAATAAATATGTAAAAAAAACTGCACAAGTAAAATTGTTGCTGCAATTGCAGAAAAAAACCTTCTGAAAAGTGGATCTTAAATGCCAAAATGTTCTCAATCTTTATTAAAGTTCAAGATTCTCCACAGCTGACATTTGCCAGGTCTGATCTAGGTCACATTTTGCATAAAATCTACGTTAAGGATTGAGCACCTGCTCTATCTTTTTTTATTTATGTGTGTGTTTTTGCCGTGTAAGCACATACTGTCCTCCATCTGCTGTTTGATGAAGACCGTTTCCTTCCATCTACAGCCGGCCTTCCTGTGTTGCTCCCTTCCAGAAGGGAAATAGGAGCAAAAGGCAGCCACACAGTCCAGACAAACAAACTGGATACGACAGATCCAGACACAACTGACCTCCAACGACTTATCCACACAAATAGAGTATTCTCCTTCTTTCTCTATGTTCTGATTATGGCTTCTGTTTTGTATGTTTTCATCTTCACTTCCCTTTCGCCCTTGTCTCATGGTCACGCACCTCCGCTTATCACTAAGTGGCTTTCTGGAGACGAAGTATTGTGAATGCATATTAATCAAGACTATTTTAAATACTAGGGAAGCATTTTAAATGGGATTTCTATTAATTCAAGGACAAATTCACAAAGTAAGAATAAAAGTCAAAGGCTTCATATCTTTGGTTTGTTATTCTAATTTATAGTTTGGTGCTGAGAAATACTGCTCATTGTTTTTGAAAGTTGCCGTTCCAATGTAAGATTAGCTGTGACTGGATTTGATAAAACACGGATAACCAATGTCACCAGGCTCTCAAAATCATTGAAAACACAACCCTGGACCTCAAGTAATCTGTATTTCTGTGCCTCTCCACTTGTCCTCCAGACGCTGATTTCTAAAGAAATGCATAATGTACATTCATCTGAGAAAGGCACTTCTTTCAACCACACTTTTTCCTCTTCCACTAAGCTTTGCATTAATATGCTAGACTACAGCAATCTTACCAAATCCAGTGCAATCCAATCCTGTTTACGTTCACATGCATTCAAAAACAAGTGGCTGCCAAAGCATTTGGTCAGCTGTCCTTAGACACCGCAAAGGAGAGGAAGGATGAAGCTAATCCAAGAGAAGGCATGAAGTGAGACCATAAGGACATTTAAAAACAAAACAATAAAATAAAATCAATTCTGTTGCACAGAGGGAGCCAATGAAGAGCAGCCAACAGAGGAGAAATGTTTTCTTGCCTGTGTGATCAAACTAAAAGACAAGAAGCTGCATTTTAGAGAAGCTGAAGGCAAGACAGGGCAGCATGGTTGACCCTGAAATAGACCACACCGCAATACTCAAGGTGTAATGTAATAAAAGTGTGATGTTTTTAAAGCCCTGTCTGGACAAAATGGTCTTGATTTTGGCAACTTGTCAGAGTTGGAAAAAACCTGCTTTTCCAAAAAGCTTGTTTTTCCAACAGATTTGACGTTTGTGTCTTATATCTAACGTTGTTCTCTAATTTCATCCTCAGATTTGTAGCAGTGGATATCAATAGAGTCTAAGAGACAAAATTCATATGGTGGAGAAAAACTTGGGACAAAAGCGTGATAAAAACGTGATAAGACCTCAGTCTCATCACTAAAGCACAACAACTGAGGGGCATCCAAGTTTTGATTTCCTTTAGGCATTGTAACAACAGATGAACAGATTCAGTCTCATGTTTTTTTTTTCACAGGAAAGTAGATTTGGCAGTCATTAGCATAACAACGCAATACAATTCAAAAAATGTCCTCAAAGCGGAACCCAAGAGTGGGTGATGGAGAGAGAGAAAAACAGAGGCCCAAGCATGGAGCCCTGAGGCCCCACCCAGCAAAAAGACACTAAAAATGATAAACTTATTGATACTAATACAACAACATCTCTCAGTCAGGTAAGACCGAAACCACTCCAAGGTTGGATCTTTATTACCAACACTATGATCAAGATGAGAAATAAAAATGCCATGATGGTCTGTGTCAAAGGGACCTGATTTATAGATATACTTTAAGGCCCTGGGGATTACGCTTGTACTGCTATCAAGAACAATCAAGACAGAAGATCCTATGACATTTATATCATCTTTTAATAGACAAGGAGAATAGCTGCAATGGAGGAACCAGAAAGTGTCGTCTGATATGGCGACTAGGTGAAATTGCTTCTCAAAAATATTTGTTTTTCAGTTTTTACAGTGTTCTCATCGCGATCTTTTAATATGTCAAAAAAAAAACTGAAGCCTGTCTGTCCACCTGCGCTCAGCTTTCCTGGAGGCCCGTCTGGCAGAATGAGTGACATCTTTCAGCTTGGGCCGACGTGTCAGTTTGGGACGCCTGGGTTTTAATGGAGCCACCGTGTAACACGACAAGATACAAGCTGACAGAGGCTCCGTCAACTTTCCAGAGTCAAAACACACGGGGTAAAAGTTTATGTCATTAAAAACATATGAGAACCGATCGGCAGTGAAAAGGTATGTCTGTCAGCCAGAACTGAATCAAAACAGGACCACAAATGTTGAATAAAATGTGATTATCCTAAATGCAAACCTTGCCAAAAACTTCAGGGCAAGTTGAAAACACCTGAAAGTACGACAGAATATGTGGAAGCTGAAAAAGAAAGAGGGATAGTCACAACACTAACAAATTGCTCATCGTTTCCCAAAGTATGTTGACAAGATGACTCAAGCGATAAATTCAGGCCTGAAGTGGCAGGAGTAGGAAATTATGTTGAATACGTGTTATGTTTTCTGAAGACCTGCCTAAAAAAAATAATAATTCAATGAGAGACTGGAGGAAAAGGCTCAGAGTCTCTGTTTGCTCTATCTGAAAACAGTCGAACAAGAAATGTTTAATTTATTAAGGCTGAAACTTCAAACAGAATCAATAAAACACACACACACAAAAAAAATATCCAAATGCTAATCAGATTTATTTATTTTTTGTTCCCCCAAACTCCCTTGCCTTCAAAACCACAAATAAAGCATGTGAATCGCTGCATCTTTAAAGTATAAAGTTGACTTCTACAAAGTGCTCTAAGTTGTTTGGACCTGACTGTCATTTGTGTTTCACGGCCCTGTTCAACTTCCTGTTTAATGGTCTTTTTTTTTGGTCAGAGCTGAGAATATTCAAAAAGAGGAAGTCCATTTAAGAGAAACCATGCCGTCAACTTATGACAAACTTCTCTCTGAGTGCAGAGAAAAGCTGGTGCCTTGTAACACTCACTAAAACGAGTCAAATTCTCATGAATTTTAAACTTGATCACAATAGAAATTTGATCCAGTTGCTATGTGTGTAGAGTTCTGCATTACCTGAATGAGAGTTGATTCAGAGCGTGCCGACTCTCAGATCCATATTAACAGCTCCCATGGTCCTCATCTAATCCAGGGGTCACATTGCTCTCCTGTTCTCAAGCGTGAATTTATCCAGAAGCTGGAAGCCGGTGTCCTGTAGTGGATCTCACTGGGTTAACCTGGTCTGAACCAGCGAGGGTTTTCCAGGAAACAGCACTGGATGCCTTCAGGAGATGCTCGCCTCCTTTAAGAGAGAAAGAACAGAGCACGTTAGCCAATTAACAAGACAGCAGAGCAGACAGATGAGAAGACATGATGTAAGATGCAGTTCCTGTCTGTGGAGAGTGAAGAACGGCACATGAAAAGCAGAAGAGCAGGCGGTGAAAACACGGCTTCTGTAACGAGAGAACTGAAAAAAGGAAAAACTGTATACCAAAAAATTGATGTTCTATACAACGCATCATAATGGCACAATGAATTATTAAAAATGTTTTCTACCTTTTAATGTGATAAACTCTATGTAGAACCACTTGGTAATAGACATGGAACCACGAGGATACCTTCAACTAGAGAGGTTTTACCCAACAGGTGATAATTGAATGCTGAAATTGAAACAATGGATGCTTCAACAATATATAAATTTCCGGGTTACTCAGTTTATCTGAGGAAATCGTTTAGAAATTATGTTTTATGGGAGCCACAGAACATTCATAATAAAACAGATGAGCAAAATGAAGCTGTAGCACAAGATAAAGAAACAAGAAATAAAGAAAGTTATACTTTTGGTTTGATAATACTGGCGAAATCAGTACTTGTCAAAAAGTGAGGGGTGCCCTCCAGTCAGTAGGTGGCAGCAGTGTTCAAACTAATCAACAAGCTGCCTGTTCCAGCCAGCAGAAGTAGCTTCACAGCCCTGTTGTAAACGGAGCGCGGGTGTTTTGAAATATATCTTCCATCATTAAGGAGATTTGGAGAAGTTTGACAGTGAAAAGGAAAATGGCAGCAGAGGTCAGGAAAGCAAGTATGACGGAGTCTTATGGCCACGCTAAGAGATTTTTATTTTCATAAACAAGAATATGGTCATAATATTACAGGTAAAGATGCAATATTGCCGGAAAAAAGTAGCTAATTATTATGATCCCTATGGGGGGCTTGACAGAATATAAATGCCTGAAAAATAAATCAGTTCTTTAAAGATCAAGCTCTAAAAAGAAACACATCACTTGATGAACCAGGCTGCTCTGGATACCAACAAAAATAAAGTCCAGGAAAACAGCACCCCCCTCCTGTTAATAAATCTGACAGATTTGCAACATAATACAAAGCCTCCTCTTCTCTATTTGTCAGCAAATTTACTATAATCCATGATTTTTTCCCCTCCTCTTGGTATTTTACTCTGTGCAATAAAAAACTGGTACAAAGACGGTGCATTAGCTGCAGCAGAGGTTGCAGTTTAGTGCCATCTAATAAATAAACCCTTTGCTGAACCACCGGGGAGCAAAGAAGGAGGGTAAGAAGGGGAAGAGGGAGTGCGATGAAATGGGGACACAGAGCGCGATTCATCTACCTGGGAAGGCCAAGCGGCCCACGTATCTGGAGCCTCTCTGTCAGCTGTGTGAAAAATACGGCAATTACCTTTTTTTCTTAAAGATTGCAGCAAAAACTCAAAGCTGAATGCTTGTGGACGTTTCCAGAGTTTCAAGGTTTTCCCCTCAGCAATGTGATGCATGCCTTGTGGTTGCGATGGTGACCGGATCGTCAGGCTGGGCACACGGAAAGATGCATGTATGTGTTTATCTCTCTTTCCTGTTTCTCTTTTCTAGGCCGCCCCGATAAACTAATGGACACATCTCCAGCAGCCCTCCCCACTTCCACCCGCTCGCCCACAGGAAATCGGGGAGTCAGCATTTGCTTCACGACATCCTGTTAAATGAGATGTCATGCTTGAGGATTATCATGATAGTCTCACAGGGGCAAAAGCTAATTCTGGCAGAATCAAGTGGGAAAGGAACAAAATAATGATAATAAAAAAAATTATAATTCGGATCACATCATTAATCCTCTGTGATTTTGTTTTGAATTTGTTTCTCATTTCCTGGAACTCCGTAGGAGTATTTGAAATCAGATACAGTCTCAGGGTTTATAAATAAATAATTTGAGGTCTGACAGAGGCGAGTCTGATCTAGGAAGCTGCTGAATAATAGAGGAATCTTTCTTTTATATGACCAGATGCACAGTATTGAAAAGAGAAAAGCTGCTCCACCAAAAGTGACACCTCAAACCAGATAATCACCTGCAGTGATGATCTGTGGGTTTTTATATTTATAAAAAACCCACAAAGAATTTTTTTTCTGCAAATATGTGCAGTGCAATTTTATTATTGTTATTTGCAGTAGAAAGGCAACAATTACTCCTAGATCTGCTAAAATCTCACAACTATGCAAGGCTTGGTTTGTGGCAAAAAAGAAAAGAAAAAAAACAAACACACAGTCATTCCATTGCTGTGTTTAAAAATCTCTTTAATGAGATTCCACAGAAAAGTACTCAACCCTCCCTAGCTGCTCATAAAAATACGTGGCAACATGCATGAAACTGGTCATTAATTATGAGTAGAGTTTGACTGCTGTAATGCCGGTAAATATTTTTCCACCCATTATTGAGAAGGGAATAAATAATCTGGCATGGCATTTTTATTGATCACAAATTTTTTGAAGTGATACTCCACTTTTATACTGTTTTATCATGCTTTGAAAGATACATGTTTTATTTACGAAATAAATAAAATACAATCTTACGTTTGAGTAACGATTTATCGTCTGAGTCCGAGCCACTTAATGGATTGTTTGCGTCGTCATCGTAAGTAGCCAACAAACTTTAGTTGCATTACTGCCACCTACTGGACTGGAGTGTGTGAAACTTTTGCTGGGAAAGGTGGGATTAATTGTGAGATCTGTAGACAGGTCCATGTCTACCAAGTCTAATCCCTACTTGTTGCAGCACAGCTAGCCTTTAAAGGAGGTTAGAAAAGTAGTAGCTTTTAAAAAAAGACCTGTCGATTTAAAGTCATTGCATAATTTATTTTTGACATTTTGTTATCTGTGATACAAAATTGAAGTAATTCTTCCATCTTACTTAGTTTCATCTATACTTCTGTGGAGGTACGAGCAATATCTGTTGAGGCGAATCACTCACTCTTACTCAGGATTTAAGTTAAACTTCAGCATAACAATCTGCATCTGCACAGACAGATGCATGGATTTCTACCACACCTATAAATATATACGTGCAAACAGACACAAACATGTGTCTCTTTGACCTTTCCATCTCTCCAGGGTTGTGGTCAATCAGATTAGAGTATCACACAGAGATCTCAGTGTGTACCAAAGCCAATCCATTTAAAGAGATAAGCTTTGAGGGCAGTTGCTACTACACATACCACTTCACCCACTGAGAGTGTATCAGCCTCCAGCATCAGTTCAGAAGAACAATATTTGCAGATGAGCTCTGACTTGTCACTGCATGTTACATCTGAAAAAAATGTCTCCAGCAGTTCAGGACCTCCAAAGAGGTCACGAGATAAACCTTTAGACCTCAGAAGATAACTAACCAAATAAGTAAAGAGTTTTAAAAACAGGGGTTGTTGTTTTAACTTTTTACAAGATTCATAATCCAATGCCAAATATATTTCAGTTTTAAAAGGTACAATTTTTTAATTTTAAGAATAAAAAAAATGCACAAGATGTTAAAATTGTGGTATGTATTTTCTAGGCACTAGTGCTTTTTATAACAAAATCCGGTATATTACCATCAGTTGTTATAAACATGCTGCATATATCACCCATGAGTTTAAAGAAATTTGATCTTGAACTAATTCCAAAAAAATAAAAAATACTATAATTCCCAAGAGATTAAAAATTAATCATACTTTCTTGACTAATAATTATCTGACCACTTGAGGGAACTCCCAGATGGTCGACTGATCTTTAAATATGACAAAACGAGACTGTGAAGTTGTTGCAAAAGCAGCATAATACCGATTACCATACCTTTGAGACCAACACACATGCACTATTCTGAATTGAAGTGCATCAAACGGGGAGTGCATACTTTGAAGACATAACAGGATTGGATGTCCCTCAAAATCTGCTTCAGTTTTTCATTTTCAGGACTGCATAACACTCGTTTCTCAATATGCCAGCATATGGCACAGGTCAGGAAACACTGTGATGACAACTTTAAGACGATGAACTTCTAAGATTACCAAATATTATCACAATAATATTTACATTGAGTATTTTCTACTGTTTTATGTTGGATTAAAATTCTTGCATTCATCTTTTAGAAATCGCAGAGTCTAGTTTTATTACATGCCCTCAGCATAGCAAGGAAACGGCAATGAATTATACTAAAACATGCAGCGTCATTTGACTAATGAAATGGCATAATTAATTGAAGACAACGTTCAAATAAGATTAAAAGAACATCATGCAGCAATCTGGTACCAGTTTCACCACGTCTGGATGTCTAAAAGTGAGAAAACCACCAAAGCAAAGTGTGATTTATGTGTTTACAACCAAACCTGAAAGGGGGAAAGAAGATTCCATTTTCTCAATGAAACGTGGAGCTGGAGGATTTGTGATAAATAGCACATGTGACCTAATGTGATATAGGAATATAAAGCTGTGCCTGTGATTCTGGCCTCCATTCACCAGAGCAAGCAGAGAAATGGTGAGACGGAAAGTAATTTGTGAGGCGAGACAGATCACCTGTCCATCTGAATTTTAAGCACACCTGTGTTATCGTGCCATTCTGTCTGGCTGAGCACCAGCATCTGGTCTTTGGCCAAAATAAGCAGGATGTGAAGTGATAACATCATAAAGAGGTTCTTCTGAACTTGGCAATCCATGTTATTTTCAAGTGTCTGGAAATTTTCTTTAAGAGCCAACGTGAGGCAAGAATATTTACAGAGACGGAGAATGTGACAGACTACATCAATAGTGTTATTTAGATGGCGAGGAAGGTAATTGAGAACCCAATTTAATACTCATCTGTTGTTTCCTCAGATCAATACTCAACACAGTGATGGAAGATGTAAAATAAGGTCAAGAATACCAGGATTTGCTGCTCAGACACAAATAACTCAAATAGTATATATATATATGTTAGGTTATAGCCATTCATCCATCAGAATAATAAGACGTTATTGCTCTGGTCTGATTTGTTGGTATGTTTGCAATATCTGTG